TATATATCCATTCATTAACAACTTGTTAGTAATGAAAAAAATACAAGGAAAATTCTCAGGGACACAGGCATTTTGTGAAGATATGTAGCAAAATTTATCAACTAGTTTGTAGCTAATCATCCCAGTAGCTGTGGGGAGGATCCTGCCGTCTCTTAAAGGGGCCTCTACAAAAGTTACAAAAGGAGAAAACTAAACCATTGAGAGAACTAAGGAAGAGGCAAAGAATATGTGCATTATTCTATATTTCTTAAGTGTGATTAATAATATCCGGACATGGTTAGTAAATTAACGGCCTTTTTTTTTTTATCACCTGAATCCCAGGACCTAATCAAAAACAATTACTCTATTGCATCAAAAGCTGGAACAAAGAGTTAATTGCTATTCTGAATCAAAGCAGGAAGGTGTCAGTGAAGGAAACTTAGGTTAACATAGGTGCTATTGATCTCTTGAAGGACTATGATATAACAAGGACAGACACCTACAATATCAACCTAATTTAGCATGAATCTTTGAAAGGCTTAGATCTAGCAAGGTTAGATAGATACCTGCAATTCTGCTGTGTGAAAGTTCCCCTGTGATCACCCCACAAGGACTTCTGATTTACCAAATCATACTGTTGATGAGTTAATTATAGAGAACAGGCTTCCACGTTTTTGTTTTACATCTGTTTGTTTTTTATTGCAGTGTGGGACAAAAGGTTTGACTGTCTTTATTTTAGTCACCAGAATTGCATACTTTGAGAAAAAAGTCATCCTACTAACAAAACACAAGAAAATTGTGCCCAACATATGAGGCATACACTGCTTAAGAGTCCCAAAGCTGAGTTAGAAGGGGAATATATTATCACAGAAGAGAATTTACAGCTAGCTACTCAAAAGGCAGCATTTTTCACAGGCCATCCCTGTGTGAATTTATCATGCATCAGATGTGTAAATGTCTGGTGGGTTGGCCTTCTAAATGTCAGTTGATCTACTGTGTAACCTGGTGGATCTCATGATTTTATGTTGTGTTTGTTTAACTCTGTGAAGTTGTGTTACTTTGCCTCTCTAAAACACCTGATTGGCCTAATAAAGATGAACAGCCAATAGCAAGGCAGAAGAAAGGATAGGTGGGGCTGACAGGAAGAGAGAGAAAATAGGAGAAATCTGGGAAGGAGATTGAGAAGCAAGAGAAGGAGGAGGGGGGCATCAGGGTTCAGCCACTCAGCTACACAGCAAGCCACAAAGGAAGAAGTAAAGAAAGGTGAAAACAGAGAAAAATAAAAGCCCAGAGGCCAAAGGTAGATGGGACCACTTAAGTTAAGAAAAACTGACTAGAAATAAACCAAGCTATTGCTGTGCATTCATAAAAAACAACAAGTAGCTGGGTGGTGGTGGCGCATGCCTTTAACCCAGCACTAACTTAACTTAAGTGTGATTAATAATATCCGGACATGGTTAGTAAATTAACAGCCTTTAACTTAAGAGAGTTAGAGCAGTTAGAGGCAGAGGCAGGCGGATCTCTGTGAGTTCAAGACCAGCCTGGTCTACAGAGCTAGTTCCAGGACAGGCTCCAAAGCCACAGAGAAACCCTGTCTCGAAAAACCAAAAAAAATAAATAAATAAATAAATAAAAAAAAAATAAAAAGTCTCCATGTGATTTATTTGGGAGCTGGGTGGCAATGCTCCAAAAGACAAAAGGGTAAAAAAACAACCAACTACAGGAGACCATGAATCTTCAGGTCAAAGCTGGCAGAATATACAGAATATACTATGTCCCAGGTTAGAATGCTGCTGGGGAGAAAAGTCCTCTCTCTAGACTGTCTTTAACCACCTTTAAAAATTCAGACAATCAGGTCTATTTCTAGTCTGGGTAATATCAGATCTTCAGAGTATCTTTGCCTTTTCAGTGGGAAGATAATTTTTAGTCAGAGGTCATGGTCACTCGTTGACCCTCAACGAGCATTACACTATTTGAAAATGAAAAATCTTTGAAAGTGAAAAAAATGTCAGATTTTGGAAGGATTTGTACTTGTGAATAATTATTCTAGGACAGCAGTTCTCAACCTATAGGTAACCACCCACCCTCTGGGAGGGGGAGGGTCATGCATCAGATATTCTGCATATCAGATATTTACATTACAATTCATAAAAGTAGCAAAATTACAGTAATGAAGTAGCAGTGAAATAATTTTATGACTGGGGGGTCTCTACAACATGAGGAACTGTGTTAAAGGTCGCAGCATTAGGAAGATTGAGAACCACTGAGTTCCACTAAGTCTAGGTGGTGTACCAAGAAAGACTGTAATTATCACTCCCTAATAGTTTGAATCCTGAATGTTTTAAGCCTCGAACTTTGTAAATGATCATTTTGACCTTCAGTGTTTTCATTTTGAACACAATGCTACTCTGTGTAGATGCTTTAGCACAAGATATGGAAGGAACTAGATAACATTCTTTGGATGCTCTGGTTATTAAGAATAAACAATGGCAACCTTTTTGTAGTAAAGTTGCCATCTCCAATTCATGGGGACTTAGCTAGGAAAGGAACAGGAGCTTGGGAACCTGATTACCTTTTCATCTTAACCTGAGCTTCTCATTTGCTAAACACAGAAAGGAATACAGCTTATGATCATAGACCACACAGGATAAGGCTGAAATCTCATTCCAGGCAAAGCATCCCTCTCTGTTATTCCTCCTTTTCATTTCTACCTTGATAACTCTAAGATGATCCCCACATAGGCTTGTAGTAGGAAGGCTGCTTGTCTGTTCCTGGTTGATCAGTACCGAAATAACCACACAAAAACTGTATTAACTAAATCACTGCTTGGCTTATTAGCTTTTGTATACATTTTGCTAACTCTTATCTCTTAAATTCATCCATTTTTAATATTTTATATTTTACCACTAGGCTCTTGGCCTACTGGCAAGGTTCCGGCTGGTGCCTTGCATCTTTCTCCTCTGGAGGCTCCATGGAGTCTCTCTGACTCTGACTTCTTTCTCCCAGCATTCAGTTTAGTTTTTCCCACCTACCTCTATCCTGCCCTGTGAGGCCCAAGACATATTCTTTATTCATTAACCAATAAAAGCAACACATATAAAGGACTTCCCACATCATAGGAAAGATCACTTGGCATCTCCACAAAAGTAGGTACACACGGAAATTATATTGAACCTTTTATTCATCTGAACAGAGAATGGCACCTTTCTTATGGAACAAGTAGTAAATATTTTCATCTTTCTCAGACATGTCAATTTTATTGTAACTTAGTCTATGCTCATAAAAAGGAAGACTAGACAACATATGAATAAATAAGTGATTATGTTTTATATAGAATGTTATTTTTTAAAAAAGAAAAACTATCTTGTTTCTTTAAACATACCAATCCAAGTTCCCACTTCCTCCCCTCCTCTGACTCCCTCCACACACCCTCCCACCCCCCCCCCATCCAACCCTCAGAGAGGTTAATGCACATTGGGGAAGGACCAAGGATCTCCCTACTATATCAAGGCTGAGCAAGATATCCATTCAAAGAAAATAGGTTCCCAAAAAGCCAGTACATGGAGTATGGATAAATCCTAGTGCTACTGCCAGTGGTCCCTCAGTCTGCCCCAGCCATGCAACTGTCAACCACATTCAGAGGGAATAGTTTTGTCCTATGCTTGTTCCTTCCCAGTCTGACTGGAGCTGCTGAGCTCCCATTAGCTCGGGTAGACTGTTTCAGTGGGTGTACCCACCATGGTCTTGACTTCTTTATTTATATTCTCATTCTTCCCACCCTTCAACTAGACTTTGGAGCTCAATCCAGTGCTCTGGAGCAGGTCTGTGCCTCTGTTTCTATC